TCAAATCACCAACCGGTGGAATTATCTATTAAAATACTTCACACTTATATACAAAAGTCTAATTGAAAACTAAGATCTTTCTTTCTTAAAGACAAAAGTATAAGTGATCAAGTGAATAAAATTTAGACCTCTTCTAACTATAATAGTACCTTCTAAAATATATTTAAATATTTATTATATTTTATAAGTTAGTTTTTAAAGACCAAACTTATCTAAGAGGTAGAAATAATACAAAAGTTGAAGAACATCTAATAAAAGTCCACTACAAGTTAAAACATAATTTTCAAGATCTTATAGTCTAAAAATTGTTGAAACAAGCTAAAAAGAATTTAGAAAAAAATTGATGAGTAGAAGTAAGAAGGTATGAAAATAAAAGCTCAAACTAGATGAAAATACAATAAATATGAATGCTTCAAAGATGTTTTCAAGGGAGATAAGGAAAGATATCTAAGGCCTAGATTATTGATATTGCTAATGACTAAGAGTCTAAAATACATGAAAAAAACCAAATTAAAAATGTTTGCTGAGTCTTCTACATTAATTTCTACTTAAACCCTCTTTCTTTTCAAAAAAGAAGAAATTCCATAATCAACATCCAACTTAAGATATTTTATTTTATAAATTTAGAACTTTCTTAATTAATCACAAAAAATCTTTCATAATATAATTACAAAAAACATAAGAATGAAAAAAAAATCAAGATTATTTTGCAGAGAAGTAGAATTTTTCATATATTATTAGATGATTATTAACAAAGATTATATAAGAATGGTGAATTTTTTTTTACATTAAGCTAATTGTTCTTAAAGCCTTATTAGATAAACTAATGTTTTATTCTTCAAAAGTGGTGATCTAAAGCTTCTAAACAATTAGAGATCTAAAAATATATTTAATATATCATACAAAATATTTATTTAGGCTCCAAATTATCTTTATGGAAATTATTAATTCAAACCAATATGCCATTTTCTTTTTCCTCTAAATATATTCTAGATAACATATTTCTTATCCAAAAAATTATTTATTAGGCCAAGAAACCAAACCAATTGTTTTGCTATCAAAAATTGATTTTTTTATGGCTTTTAATAAGATTTTTTGGTTTTTTTTCTAATAATAAAAAAATTATCTTCTACTCAATTTTTATAAAAAATACCAAACTATTATTGAAAGAAGAAATAGTGGGAATTTAAGTAAATAAAAATCTAACCAATAGATTCTTACTATCTAGAGCATGAAGCAAGATTTTTTCCTTGCTGTTTGTTTCTTTTCAATTATAGAAAAAAATCCTCAGCACAACCATTCAAGAAGAAATTAAAGAAGAAAGAATTATAAGAATTATTTTTTTTAGTAATAAAGTTCAAAAAACTCTCAACATATATGCTAATGACTCTACTTCAACTTAAAAGACAATAGAAACTTTGTATTTCATGTGATAAACATTCTCCACAAATTTATGTATACTTCTAATTTAAACATTAATAGGTCTAAATTCTTAACTTATTGGCAATATTAATCTATCACCAAATTTTTTTATTCTATTAGATTTAGTTGAACATGGAAAAAAGAGAAAAAATATTAAAAATGGCAAACATTTTTTTTAGAATTTCTATGATTATTATAAATATTCATCAATTTTTTATAATAAAATAAAATAACAACTCAATTATTGGTGTATTGTAAAAATCAATGTAGTTAAAAAGGTTTCTATTGCATATTATAATAAATCCTCTTATCAACTTACTTAATCACCTTGATTTGGTGTAGATTCAAAAACAATATCAAAATCATATCTCTTATTAAGAATATTGTATAAAAAATATTAAAGATCTTAGTCATACAAAGTCAGCCTAAAAACACTTTTGCAAAACAATAAAGAATAATAGCATTTGAATTATGGATTAAAAATAAGCATTAATTTTTCTTATAGTCAAATGGATAATTAAGGCCGTTCATCAATGTGGCTCAAATCTTTATACTTTTATAAGTCACAAATTAATGACAACCTTTTTTAAAGTTCTTGATAAATAGAGTCTTGATTTTGCATAGACCATGCTCTTTAATTACAAATGAGGTAGAGGTTCTAAGACTTAGCTTTATATATATATAGAACTTGGTCCAAAATGATTACCTACATCCAAATAAACTACCCAAAATCTTTCTTAGAAGTAAGAATTAGGCTTTTATAGTAGGACAAAAAAATTATTTAAATAACATATACATCTCTTTGATAAGAACAGAAAATTGTACTAAAAAAATTCAAAGAATCAAAGATTTATGTGAAAAAAAGAAATTGAAAAAGTAATTCATGTCATTTGGCAAAATCATCCAAAGATTTGGCTTTTTAAATGAAAAAACATATCTATAAGAATATTTATCAGATTCTAACTTTAATTTTTTGAGGTTTATCCTTGGCTTCAAACTACAGCTTTTTATACTTTAAGAATTACATTGAAATATGTAGTTCAAATGAAGCTCTCTCATCAAACTATGTTTTTTAAAAATATAATCATAACTATAATACTATTCTTGATAATTGGTTCATTATGACAAAATTCTTAAAAAATATATATATTTATAATAAAAAATAATTGAGATTCCTATATCTAGAAAAAAAGAAAAAACTTTATCTAATCAAAACTTAAGACTTCTTAACATATAATTTGGAATGAATAAAAAGCTACACAAAATAATAAGAATAGTTGTAAAAGTAAAAATTATTGATAAGTATAATAAAAATGTACTTTTTTATTTTTTTGGTATGATTGCAAAAAAAAAACTTTGCATCCAAGTATACTATTTGTAATCAAGAATTAACATTGTGGCATGCACATCCAAACTTAGCCATAAATTATTACAAAAAAATTCATAATACTTGGAATTTAGCCATAAAAAAATAAAATAACATACTATAAGAAAGTCGTAAATTCAAGTAAAAAATATCTATTATAATCTAAGAGCTTGTAAAGAAAAAAATACTAATCTAGCTCATTTACTACAAAATATTAGTTGTTAATATATAGAAAGTACAAGCATGCTAAGACTCATTACTTCTCTCTCAATTCTATAACTTAGGTTTATTAAAAATATTGAATTTTTTAGAATTTCCTCTAAGCAAAGAGATTATAGAATTAAGTTACATTAATCATGCATAACTACTTATCAGTTATAAGATGTTTGGCCCTTGGCCAACCTTTTCATAAAAATAATCAACCTTTTCTTTGAAAATCTTCTCAAATATAGAAGATGTAAAGCTATCTTATCATTATTACTTACAACTTACTTATAGACAATATAAAAGAAACATAATAACTTATCATTTTAATGTAAAGTGTGGAGCAATAAAAAAAATTCACTTTGAAATATTTTTTTTTTTTTTTTTTTTTTTTTTTATAGATTATGTTCAAATACTTTAGAAATTCACTCAAGAAAAATTAGATAAATAAGTTGACAATGGTAAAACAATGCTCCATAGTTGGAATAGAATATATAATTAAAAAATATATTTGACACTAGACATATGGAATTTTTGTATAGAATCCAATGTTCTTCCATGGTGGCATCATTATACATATTAATTTTGATACTAACATGTGATAACTTATATTTGTTTCTTAGAATAAAAGTTTCATTGACAACTAAATCACATAGTTTCTAGGTCTTTGGATGCCGTGTATTTAATCTTTTTTGATCAATGCATTTGGTACATCCTAGTTGTGTCAAAAAATAAAAATAAGAATAAGCAAAGAAATAAGCTTCATCTAAGAAAAAAAGAAAAGAAAGGGCAATAATCTATTTCATTGTAAAAACTATAAAAGAAAGCATTTGTCTAGATCTATACATTACACCAAAATGACATCTAGATATTCAATTGAAGTAACAAAGGTTTGGATAAAGAGGATGTAGAACACCAAAATGAATCATGCACTGGATATATCCCAGCTATGTCAAAAAAATAAAAAATAAAAGTAAAGGGAATTTTTTCATTCAATGAAAGAAAGAAAAGGTGGTAATCTATTCCAGAGTACAAACTGAAGAAGAAGCAAGCATTCGTCTAGCTGCAAACATTACCCTAGAAAACATCCAAGTTAACGGCAGAAGTAACGAATATTCGGGTGAGGTGATCGTGGAACACCATTTTTAGTAAGTTCTGATTCCAAGATGATATTCCACTTCTTGCACCACAGGTTAGGGAGCTTGTGAAATGCATGAAGTGGGATTCTGGTGACAATATTCAATCCCTAGTCAAGGCAGTGACGTAGCTTGCCCTAAATAGCTGGATTATGTTCACTCCATGACGAATTTTTTTTTTTTTTTTTTTTTTTTTTTTTTGGTTACCTACCTACCTTCTGATCAAACTGAATCATGTCCAGAAGTATTCACTTGGGTGAGGTTTCAACAGTTTTCCCGGTACGAGAAGTAACGCAATCCATTTTAAGACTTTCTAGAAATGATTCTGGAACTTTGCGTTCGCTCTGCTAATGATATTGTTCCTGCAGGCTTCTTAAGTTCATGTCCTCCTCTAGTTTTTATTTTATATTATTCTCATGTCTGTGACTGCTGAGCCTCCAACTGACACCCTTGCTATCACCGCACAGCTACACCTCCCTGTCCACGTTGTCTTTGAGGCATCGAGCTTTTCAAATCCAGTTCACCTCGAAGCTTGAAATCATGACAAGCCTGCTCGTGTGAAGTTTTCCAGCGTCCTGTGTTAATCTAAACTGGTGAGTTGGGCTCTAGGGGTCACACATTGACCACGGCTTGTGTGCCTAACCCCAGCATAAAGGAGACAAAAACCACAGTATAATAATTGCTTTTCAGCCTTTTTTTAGCACCTTGGATCCAGATTGACAGATCTGAAGATGCCCTCGCCTTTTCTCTCCACGGATGGTGTTGAAAAGGACAGATGCTTGTGTAAGCGCAGAGGCCGATAAGGTGCATTGTGAGGCTAAAATTAGCACCACCAATAAATCTACACGGATAGTGTTCAAAAGATCCAAGAATTTCTAACCTCAGGAGTGGGATGTAAGCCATTTGTGTTGTATGTTGTAAGGGCCCTGTCATGAATACTGGAAGTATATCACAATTCCCTGGCACAGAACACGGGACGTTCAATCTACTTTTCTGGCTCAGCTTGAATGGCTACTGAAGTGGCTGGAACGTCTGGGAACAGCAAAAATTTGGGTGGGCTTGGCGTGAGTTGCATTCGAGTTTGACGGAGGAGAAGAAATCGCGAAGTATCTCTATCATGGCTTCTTCTTCCTTAGATTTTCCCACTTTCTTTGTAAGCGGCCTCCCTACTTATCCTGCATGTTGTCTAGCATAGTGGTAGATTCGTCGACAATTGCATTGAGCTAGTCAGTTTTGGAGACGGTTTGCGGTGACAGAGGTATTACCAAGTTAGTGGTGTCACAACGTAATAGAACTGAACAGGAGAAGCTCATAAATACTGGTTGGAATTGCTCGCTTCAAAAACAGTTTTAATTTTTAATTTTTAATTTTTTTTTAATATTTTTTTTTCTAGGCTCGAAACACATTTTCAATCAATTCATAGGAATACTTGGTTCTTCCTTTTCGCAATGTAGAGAATTTTGCAGGAATGTTGTCAGTTACCTCGACAAACATGTGCAGATCATTGGAGCGACGGTCTTTGCAATCTTCATCTTTAAGAAATTCCTCACAAAGCATAGCAATCTGCCGCCTGGACCGATCGCGCTACCAGTTATTGGGTCGATGCACCTGCTCGGCACCTCGCCTCATCACAATTTGCAAAAATTATCTACGAAGTATGGTCCCCTCATGTCGATTCGCCTCGGGCAAGCCCAATGCGTTGTTGCGTCGTCAACTGAAACAGCCATGGAGTTTCTCAAGAATCAGGACTCTAATTTTACCTCGCGGCCTGCGCTGCGAGTTGGTGAAGCGGTTTTCTATGGCCAAGGTATGCAATCCACCGCCTTCTGCGTCTTCTGTTGCCTTGCCTTCTGAGTTTATGTAACTTATGAGGTTTTGGGTTTGTGATCTTGCCAGATTTAGTATTTCAGAACTCCACACCCTTGTGGCGCCATCTTAAGAAGATTTTCCAGGTAGAATTCACGAGTACGAAGCGGCTTGACACGACTCGCCATGTGCGGGAGGAAGAGATTGCGCACCTCACCAGCACGCTACCACATAACTGCGAAGTGAACCTTCGCATCCACCTTAAAAGCATGATCGGAAACATCATCTCACGCATGGCTGTGGGCCAACGTCTCTGTGCAAAGCCAGAGGAGTGTGAGAGCGAAGAACAGCTCCGTGAAGTCGCGAGCCTGAGAGAAGTTATGGACAATGTTGCATTTTGCATTGGCGCGGTCAACCTTGCAGATTACATCCCTGCGCTCAAGTGGTTAGACCTCCAGGGACTAGAGCGACGGTTTAAAAAAACCTTCCAGATCATGAATTCGGTGTCGGGAGAAATAATCGCCAAGCATCAGGAGCGGCGCAAGCTGAGCAATCCAACGGACAAGCAGAAGGACCTGATCGATGTGCTTCTGGACGACATGGAGAAGCCCCAAGACGGCAGTCCTCGCGTTACCATGGACAGCATCAAAGCAGTCACATGGAATGCTTTTGCTGGAGCCACAGACGCCATTGCCATGTCGTTGGAGTGGGCGATGTCGGAGATTCTTCTCCACCCCCACGTCCAAGCCAAAGCTCACGCGGAGCTAGATGTTGTGGTGGGAAAGAATCGTCGCGTGGAGGAATCCGACATTCAGAACCTCTCCTACATAGGAGCCATCATCAAAGAGACTCTGCGTCTCCACCCCGTCGCCCCCATGCTTGCACCTCATGCAGCTCTTAATCCATGCAAGGCTTTCGGGTTCGACATCCCCGGGGGCACTTGGGTCATCATCAACGCCTGGGCGATCGCACGCGACCCTGCCGTCTGGAAAGACCCGACAGAATTCAACCCAGACAGGTTTATGCAGGACGATCCCAATGCCCTTAATCCGCGAGTGTTTGAAATGCTTCCGTTCGGAGCCGGTAAACGCATGTGTCCAGGCGTGGCGATGGCTAATGTGACAATGCAACGTGCGATTGCGAAACTCCTTCACGAATTCGAGTGGGGTCTGACAAGTGAATTGGATATGTCGGAGGGAACGATGTCGATTGTTGTGCCTCGAGCTGTGCCACTGCATGCAGTCGCTAAACCCCGATTGTCCTCTGAATTCTACACCTGATCGAGACAGATCGAGGGTCCTATGCACCATCTGATCAAGCGGCGGAGTAATGGCTTAGTTTTCTTCGGACTGTGCAGCTACCGTCAACTTTTCCAGCAAACTAGGCTGCCAAGCTCGCGGCGGATTGAACGGTTGTGTTAGATGGTCATCGCTACAATCTGCCAAGAATCTTGGATCCTCAACTGGGCACGCCGAGCATGTAGCTCACAAGAGGAAAGAGAGATCCTTGAAGCTGCAGGTCGTGATTGTGAGTTTGTCCATGGAAGATTCAAGGGGACTTCACGTTGGATCTCCCTGTGTCTTTTCTTTCTTTCAGATCCTTTCTTCCAACTCGATCGTTTGTTGATGTTGGTTTGGCGGTGCCATTGCTTCCAGCTGAACAGCAGAGGAAACTTGCATCCGGAACCATGTAGTTCAGAAGATGGGAACGATGCCGATAGAATCGTTTAGAGTCTTGTGTAGTTGTTTGGTTCGAAAGGCGCCATAAATATCCAGAAGTGCATCATTTGAGCCAAGATTTGCTGGCGCATCTCCGCAATTGCTACCTTCATGCCGAGGACATTGTTGCCAACATGTGTGGGTTGTATGACTTGTGTGAAAATATCCTCTTGGTTTGTTGTAACACAATTGTGCAAGCATGCTGAAACCCTCTTGAGAAACACTCTAGCGTGGACCACAGATTCGTTGACAAAGTTGGGCGAAGTGCATAACAACTGTTGCGTGATACCAGTCCTCACAGTGATGAACTATAATACGATCAGAACTACTAAAGAGGGCCTTAAAAGCTGGATTGACTTGCAGTAAGCAGTGACTTCTGTGTCGATATGAATCCAAGTAGTCGTCTGCATGGGCAGGAACAGTGTTCAGATTAAAACATGAGTGCCCAACAATCTCATTATGTCTGTGATAAGCACACTTGTGGGCAGAACAGCATTCAACACTAAAAAAAGTGAACGTCTAAAACGTATGAAAGATCTATTGAGCGTTTCGACAGCTAAACAGTAAAACTTGTTAACAAAATCGAATCACTTATAGTGGGCAGTTTGAGGGTTGCCTTCGTCAGGTTGATGCTCATCTATTTCAAGAAGAATATGTTATTTTTGAGGATTTGCATTTATATTATGTCATCTTAAAGTCTATAAAAATTATAATGTCTTATTTAATAACTCAACAAATAATAGCTCTTGAATTGAATTTATTGATTGTTTATTATTTATCTCCTTACCACCGCAAATACAAAAAAACCACAATCAAAGATAGAGGATGGAATATAAGCTTTATTAAACCTTGTTTATTTGATAGCAAAGAAATATTTGACTTTTAATTTTATTTTTGATGGATGTTGTCAATAAAAAGCTTTGGCTTTTTTTTATTACATTTATAATATTTTTAGATGGCTTTTTATGTACATTTAGTTATTTTATATTTACATCAATGTATAAGATATTCTAACCTATTTTGGCATTGCCTCAAGTCTAAGACTTCTTCAACCTTAAACTCTTAACTATTGATTATTTTTATAGGAAGAGGTGGCATTTATCTTCTTCTTCATATATCCACTATTTTATATAGTTCAAAAAGAGACACATGAAATACAACATAGATCTTTATAGATTTTAATATGGTAAGAGCATCTAAAAATGATATCTAAAAAATCTTATTATTTTTTTCATCAATACATAGTCTTAAATTTGAATTTTGATAAAGACATGATTTAAAGAACTTTGTGATGATTTAAAATATATATTGATATGAAATACTTAAGGTTCTTATGATTTATATAAATAATCATTATTTTTTTTTAAAGATAATAGAGCTATATTTAAAATGAATCTATAATGATAAGTTCTTTGTTTTGAAACTTGTAGTTGTTTTTTATTGCTAAATACTTTTTTTGAATAAAAAGCAATAAGGTGAAGTTCATCATTTATTCTTATTTATGAAAATATTACATTTAAGATAAAGTTTGATGCATCTATTTTTATAAAAAAATACCTTAAAAAATTTAATATTATTTTTATGGACATATATATTAATTCTAATATTTATCTATATAATTAAATAAAAGTAGGTAAAAGGAGATTTATTTCATTATATTTTTCAAAAAAGCTTCCTAGAAGCTTCATAGATGCTATTTTGATTCTATATGTATTTGTAAATGATTGGTAGGTTAGAAACTTAATCAACAAGTTAACTACATATTGATAGCTTATAGAACAAGTTAATTATGTAGTGCACATATAGAAAATTTGCCTTGCAAGTTAAGATATGTGTCTTATAAAGTCAATATGTTTTGGAAGTCCTATAGGACACTGCCACGTAGCTCCTAGTTAAGAATATATATGGTAGTAAGAGTGAAGTCTTCTTTACTCTTGTCAATGTCTTTCTACTCCATAGACTTATTTCAAGACTTTTTGATTTTCTTGTCTTTAGCAATAGCCATTCTAATTCATTATTATATCATTTTTGAGTGTCTTTCTAGTTCTTTTCAATGACACAAGAGTATATTGAAGATTTCTTTCTTCAAGATTCATATTATTAATAGTTTAAAAAGACTGCTAACTTATTATTCTTGTCTTCTATTAGAAATGAGTAGATTATCTTACTTCTATTAGAAATGAGTAGATTATCTTACTTCTATTGTTGTGTTTTAAAAGTTATGGATTATCCACCTTTAAACAAACTATTTAGTTTTCTAACATTGATATCTTCCTTAAAAAGAGTTGATTACTTTTTTTTCTAGAAATTTTACATTTTTTTTTATTAGAATTTGTAGATTATCTTCATCTAATTTGACTTTTGGATTTGTTAAGTTATTTGAAAAGAAGAGAAAAACCATAGATACTATATTTGGTAGAAGTCAAAATAGATTTGAAACTATTGTTGATCTTTAAGAACTTATCAATACTCTTAGGATAAAAATTTCATGCATCACGAGTGCTAGCTATAGAATTAGTAATCCTATGCCTATAAAAGAAGTCCAAAGTCTACGTCAAGAAGTTGTATAGTTGAAGGAAGAAAATAAATCAACCTCACAAATAAATCTAAGAAGTTCTACTTTTATAAGTACAATAGAGTCAAGGATTAATATGCTTGAAAATTTTGATGTAACAAAATCAAAATTTTGAAGTTTTTTGCAACAAGTTAAGTTATATCTAAGTTTACATTCTTTCCAATATCCTAATGAATTTTCTCAAGTTGGATTCATAAGTGCACTTCTATTTAGAAGTGCTCTCTTTTGATTTGCACCTTTAATGGAAAAAGTTTCATGACTCTTTTATGTTTTGAATTCATTCTTAAAAGTGTTTACAAGCATATTTGGAAAAATTCATCAAGAAAAAGTAGCAAAAATTAAGCTATTATCTTTAAAATAAGGATCACAATCAACCACCATATATACTGCTGAATTCCAAAACCTTGCTTCCGACATTGATTGAAATGACAAAACTGTCATTAATCAATTTCAATATGGATTGAAGGATAACATCAAAGATTTGTTATTAATAATGTTGAAAGAAAAATCTTTGAAATAATTTATTGCTCAAGCCATTGCATGCAATAATCGATTATTTGAAAGGCATAAAGAACAAAGACTTGCTTGGAAAAGAATAAGCCTAATAATGACAGTAATTCCAAAGTTTTTAGAAACTTATTTATAAAGGTTGGAACCAATGCAAATTGATACAATACATTTTTAATCCTTCACTGAGCAAGAAAAGACTTGACGTCGTGAAGAGGATTTATACTTATACTATAAAAAAGCTAAGCATAGTGCTCAACATCATCCAAAGAAGCAATGCTTTCACAAAATGAAGAATACGATTGCTAAAGAAGATAATATATTAGAAAATAAGTTCTATAATTATAGTAGAGACTATACAATGTCATATTATGTAAAATCTTGCTTGAGAATGGGCTAAACACCTAATTGTGGAAGTTAAAAGGAATTTGCAATAACAAGTTCTAATCACTCTAATAAAATCATATATAAATTACTATAAAAGCTTAACAACCATAATCAATCATCAATTAAGTTCAATTATTATTATTATTAATATTATTTTATTATTTATTATTTATGATTTATTATTTATTTTAAAAATAAATTATAAAAGAAATACAAAGAAATTCTAAAAAAATCCTAAAAAAATCCAAATCAAATCTTAAATCCTAAATCCTAAATTCTAATCAAATCCTAACTCTAATAAAATCTTAATCCTATTCAAAATCTAAAATTTAATCAAATCTTAATCTTAATAAAATTCTAATCAAATCCTAATCAAATCCTAACCAATTCTAATCAAATCCAAATCTTAACCAAATCCTAATCGAATCCTAATTAAATCCTAAATCAATCCAAAATCCTAATCCTAACCTTAAATCGAATCTTAATTAATCTAAAGTAATTCTTATATTAAATTTAAACCTCAATAACTAATAAATGAACCGTTGATTTTAATTCAAATTTTGCATACCTCTTAATAATTAAGTTGACAACAAGTACAAAAAAAATTGGATCGGAATTACCAAATAGACGATAACCTCAAAAATGGTCTCGGATGTCATCTAGCTTCCTTCTCTGACCTTGATGCCAATCTTTCAGTGCCAATTACTCTTGATTAAATTATTATTTTGCTTCCAAACTTTACATACTTGTTAAAAATTAAATTGACTACTTCTATGAAAAAACTTTACTTCAATCTAACTAGTAGATTGACAGATATCTAAGAAAACCTCATTAGACCTCAAAACCCCTGAATTTCGAGACCATAATCCACAAAAATCTTTATGCTTTTCAATCTAACCATCCAATCAAATCCAAATTCACAGCACACATGAAGTACAACTACACCTACAAATCTAAAATATTTTAGGCATAGATCTACCACCAAACTCTTGAAATTATCCAAAATGTCAATCTTATTTTATTTTCCAAAAATCACAGTCACTAAAAACAACACCAACTTTGCAAAGCTCTTACAAAGTCATTGTCTATCCAAAATCATCAAAATTAATGCTTATAGAAACCTTATCAAGTCTCCTCTCAAATTTCACTCTCTGATCAACCATAGAACTCCAAAATTGTAGTCAAGGCTTAATTTTGTGCCTTACAATCTGATTTTGATCCTAGTTGGTAACCGGTCTTCTTTGGGTATCAATTTTTGTTCCATTTGAGGTAAATTCTAGTAAAACCAACTCCTAACTCTCTCCTATATATGCTTATATCTTTCATTTTTCTAATCTATCTTATTTTGTCTTATTTATGGCCTTACAAAGTAAGTAGAAGCTACTTTTCTAAAAAGATAATATTACTATTAAAAAATTTATTACCTTCCTATCTTTTATCTATATTTTTTAACTTCATCTTTTAACTTGGATCTTCTATAATAAGATACATATTATTATCTTTTATCATATAATCATTGTTGAGGTAGAGAAAATTTGCCTCAAGAAAGCATTGGGCTCCTGGTTGTCACTAATTCTTCAATCAAGCTTCAAAATAAGAGAAGTTCTAAGTTTATATGTAAAATTTTCTTTTTTGAGCAATTACACCAAATACATAAGCCTCAAGTAACTAACAACCTCTAAAATATGATAAAATCCTTTAAATCCTTGTATACC